GCCCGCTCCCCTAGCCCCGCCCCTTCCGCTCGCGCCGCCCTGCCCACACCTCTCGCGCCCCGCCCCTCCCTGTAGGACTGCTCTCCAGCGCGGGCGCTTCGGCTTCTGGGATCGAATCTGCGGAAGGAAAAGCCCAGAGGCGGGGCGGAGACTGTCGCGCTAGAGTGACGTGTACCGTCGGCGCGGGAGGGTGACGTGACGGGGGCCCGTTGTCTGTGTGCTAGGCTGAGGGGCTGAGGGGTCCCGGGGGTGGCAGGGGCTCCCGGCGGGGGGCGGCGGTGGGTCGGGAGGGCCTGGACATGGCGCTGAGGGGCCGCCCCGCGGGAAGATGAATAAGGGCTGGCTGGAGCTGGAGAGCGACCCTGGTGAGGAGGTAGCCGGGCGGGGCGGGGGCTTGGGGAGGCCAGGTGGTCCCGGGACGCTTTTGCCTGACCACCACCCGCTCCCCTTGTCACCCCGCACAGGCCTCTTTACCCTCCTGGTGGAAGATTTCGGTAAGAGACTCTCCTACCCGTAGGACTCCGATTATGGGTGCCCACTCCTGCACCCTAACTCCACGTCCAGGTGGTGCCCTTCCCGACTTCTTTCCTTCCCTGATCGCAGGTGTCAAAGGGGTGCAGGTGGAGGAGATCTATGACCTTCAGAGCAAATGTCAAGGGTGAGTGGCTTGTCACCAGGACTGCCTCTTACACTCCGAAGGTTGGGAAGGGCCTAAGGAAGAGTGACCCTCAAGGGAGGTGGTATAATATATATATATAGATATTTTCCGAGCCTTCTTTCAGCACGTCCCTTTTAAGAGGTAACTGCCCCAATAGAAACCCTAACCATCCTTTGGGGTACAGTTCAGCTGCCTTTTTGTTCTGGCCTTAAAACTGAAGCCAGGCTCCTTCTCTTGTTCAGGTCACACAGTACCTTTTATGCCGCTGTAATGTAGTTACTGCTGTAATGTGCCAATATTTCAGTGGCTTTAATCCTCACGCAAGAGGCTTGTATTCCTTGATTGTATGTGGCATCTGACAAGGCTGCCTTAGGGGTAACCAACCTCAGGGTCTTGTTTTGGGAGTCCTGTGGAAGAAGTGTGCCCAAGACGTCTGCTTTTGTTTCCCAAAAAGGGGCTGAGTGTTCCTTTGCTTCTCTGATTGCACTAGACCCCAGGTCTTGGGGGTTCACAAGTGAGAACTGGTGTTTAATTTTTTATTCTCACGTTTCCTTCTATTCCTACCCTGTCCTGGGTCTGGTGGTTTGTTTTTCTTCTCTTATTCCAGAACTGTAGACATCACTGGGTGGACTTTTGGTGTACCACAGCCAGAAGCTGATGCTTGACCCTGCCTGTGGCAGGTGTCTGGGGTGTGAGGGCTCAGGGTCACTTTGAGCATTGTTTGGAAGAAGCCAGGGGACAAGGCGTGATCAGGAAAAGGGCACTGGAGTGGTAACACATACAAGGGATAAAAGAAAGAGAACATAACCACCTTTGCCCACTTGACTGGTCTAGCTATCCTATTTACTTTCCCCAGCCCTGTGTATGGATTCATCTTCCTGTTCAAATGGATCGAAGAACGCCGGTCCCGTCGCAAGGTCTCTACCTTGGTGGATGATACATCTGTGATTGATGATGATATTGTGAATAACATGTTCTTTGCCCATCAGGTCTGTGGACTCTGTTTTGTCTGGATGATGGGGTTGCTGTTGTCTTTGCTTTGGGAAGTGCAAGTAGGGGAAGACAGGAGGAGATAAACAGATACCGGGGATGGTGGTTATAGAAGTCCCTTGGCAGAAGGAATTGAGCAATCTTACTCATTCAAAAAGGGAAGTATCTTTAGAGCAGCATGTTTACATCAACTTACCATGTCCCTAGACACACCTGTGGTGAGTCCATAAGTTATTTAGCGGGAAGAACAAATGTTGGCCAGAGGTTGAGAGGAACTGATGAGGGTTTGTCCAGATATGACTGTCCCTCTTTAGGTCCCCATCCCCGATAAGAGCTTGCAGCGAGGGATGCAGCATGTCGATGACTGTTCTTGGTTTCACAGTTAATACCAAACTCTTGTGCCACTCATGCCCTGCTGAGCGTGCTTCTGAACTGCAGCAGTGTGGACCTGGGACCTACTCTGAGTCGCATGAAGGACTTCACCAAAGGTTTCAGCCCTGAGGTAAGCAGTGCCTTAATGCTGACTCAGCTGGTTGGGCAGACCTGCCCCTCAGGGCCATTGATCATGCTACCACATGCTGTTTGGAACTTTTTTGTTTTTAAAAGATCATTTACATTATTGGGGGGGGGCTGTAGATTCTCTTCTACTCTCAGTAACCTTATAGGAGAATTCATCTGTGCATCTTCAGACTTGGTGGAATGCCCCCAAATCTACCCTCCTGAACTTTGCATTCTAGCCTGAGCCCACTGGAGAAGCTATTCTGATATGGCCTTCTTTTCTTTTCCTCCAGAGCAAAGGATATGCTATTGGCAATGCCCCGGAGTTGGCAAAGGCACATAATAGCCATGCTAGGTATGTGGGGCTGTGGGAGCTAGTAGGGCTTGAGGGACTGTCCCATTCTTAGGACTGACTGTATCCTTCACTAGACCTGAGCCACGCCACCTCCCTGAGAAGCAGAACGGCCTCAGTGCAGTGCGGACCATGGAGGCGTTCCACTTTGTCAGCTATGTGCCTATCACTGGCCGGCTTTTTGAACTGGATGGACTGAAGGTCTACCCCATTGACCATGGTAGGCACTCGGAGCCAGTGGTTGGTTAGGATTCTATTGTTTATCTCGTAGGGGGTTGGGGCTCAGGGTCCTGAAATGCTTGTGACCCAGTGGAAGGGCGGGTGGGTGTTAAGGATATCTGGCTCAGGCCATATAGCCCCCTGCACGGCATTGGCTGACTAACTCAGTGCCTTGACTCACCTGTTCTCTGTCCTCTGCCGCACTTCTGGTCTGCCCAAACTCAGGAATTCCCAACTGCTGACTCTCATCTTGCTCTTCTCTTAGGACCCTGGGGGGAGGATGAGGAGTGGACAGACAAGGCCCGGCGGGTCATCATGGAGCGTATTGGCCTTGCCACTGCAGGGTAAGAGCCCCATTTCTGCTCTGTCCTTTGATGGAGTTGTGCCCCGATTGGAAGGGACATAGAGGTACCAAGGCACAGAGAGACCAGATGACCTGTGGAAGGTGATATGGTGAAACTGACAAGATCAGGCTTAGATTTTGGGCTTCCACTTCCTGCCCTCTTTGCCCACCCAGGCTGCTTGCGGCCTACTTCAGGATAGGCCTGGGAAAGAAAAGTCTTGGTGGAGTCCACACACTTCAGTGGATGCACCAGCTCAGGTGTCTGGGGTGCATGGTCAGCTATTGCCCATTTGCTAGGGTAGGGTCCTGTTCCTGTGGCTGCATGACTTTAGGGAGCCCTGCCAGGATATCTGCTGCAGCCTGATGGTGGGGCCAGGTAAGGAGCTGCTCTCACAGCTGGAGCTATGACCGCAGGGAGCCCTACCATGACATCCGCTTCAACCTGATGGCAGTGGTACCTGACCGCAGGATCAAGTATGAAGCCAGGCTGCACGTGCTGAAAGTGAACCGTCAGACAGTACTGGAGGCCCTGCAGCAGGTAGGCCTTCCCCGACCATCCTCTCTTTCCTCCCCACTGGAGCATTTGCCCCTGATTTCCAGATCACACTATTGTAGGATCTGACCTTTAACCATTTCGTTCCTTTGTTCCCTTTGTCAGAAAGGTGAGGCTTTTGGTAGGGAGGATGGATGATTTCTAAAAGGAGGTTTGGGTTTGCCTATTACATTTGTCTGAGTAGATGGAGCAAAGGTTCTTAGCTTTCCAGATAGAGGCTGGGATAGGTCTTCACTGCTCTAAGCCTTGAACTTTGTTTTCAGCTGATTAGGGTAACACAGCCAGAACTAATTCAGACACACAAGTCTCAAGAGCCACAGCTGCCTGAAGAATCTAAACCAGCCAGTGGCAAGTCACCCTTGGCACTGGAGGCAAACAGGGCCCCAGCGGCTTCTGAGGGCACCCACACAGGTACTGGGGGTCTTGGGCCTTTCAATCACTCTCTCATAGCTTGACCTGGGTGGCTCAAGCAAAGCAAATGTTTTCTAAAGAGACACTTGGGTGGGGGTTCACAGCCTCCCAGGTTCATGGAGGGAGAGCAGTCCTTTCTATAGAGGAGCACCTGTCAGTATTGCCAGTACCACAGACCCCTAAACCCTCTCAATAATGTGTATTCCCTTTCTAGGTCTCTCTAGAGGCTTTATCTTTCTGTTCTTCTGTCCTGCTGTGGGCCCATGACCTAGAGCTATGGATTCCCATCCCACCTGTTGGCTCTACTGTGAGGGAGGGCAGTGCAGTGCCGCAGGAGTGGGAAGACATTGGGCTGGGGATGGCTGTTGAGAATGTAACTGAAGGTCCTGCCTTTGCGCCTTGTCCTTCTCAGATGGTGTGGAGGAGGTAACTGGTTCATGTTCACAAGCTCAGACCCACAGCCCTCCCAGCAAACCCAAGCTGGTGGTGAAGCCTCCAGGGAGCAGCCTCAACGGGGTCCCCCCTAATCCTACTCCCATTGTTCAGCGGCTGCCAGCCTTTCTGGACAATCACAATTACGCCAAGTCCCCCATGCAGGTAAGCTGGCAGTGCCCTTGCAGGACTCTCTCCAGAATTCTCTTGAGAGGCTGCAATTGGCGATTTCCTGAGGTGTTTTGTTAATATTTGCCTTCTACCTGAACCTACAGGGCAGAATTCCTGATACGCAGAAACCCCTACAAAGGCGCAGGGGCTCACAGAAACAGAGAGTGTGTCTCTGACTCCAGTCCAGTCACATGTCTGTGTCTGGGCTTAAATGTTTGGGACATGTTCTATATTTGCTATATTTGCTATAGCTCTTTGGATTGGGTTCTTCTGGCAAAGTAAAGGCACACATTTCAAGGCACTCTTTCCCTGCCCTGAGCAGGCAGGCAGCAACCTCATAGGGGGTCAAGAGAGGGATCTGGAGATTCTGGAGGGGTCCCCTGATTCGCCTTCAGCTGTGTGTACTACACCCACTGTGGGCTGAGCGGCCCCCCTTTTCATGACTGTCTGGGTCTCTGCCCTAGGAGGAGGAAGACCTGGCAGCAGGTGTGGGTCGCAGCCGAGTTCCAGTTCGTCCACCCCAGCCGTACTCAGAAGATGAGGATGATTACGAGGACGATGAGGATGATGACATGCAGAACACCAACTCAGCCATCAGGTCAGCCCCATCTTTGTGAGGCCGCAGGCTCTGAGTGCTGTGAATCCTTTCTTAAATATTCTATCCTGTGTCTGTAATTCCGAGCACCTGCTGAATGCAGGGCTCTGGGGGAGGATGGAATGAAGAAGCTGCTTCCAGGCTCAGGAATATTTTGGAGGACTCAGTGGAAGTCTGAGTACTTAAACTAGACCCCAAGGCATATCCTGTTGGGTAATGGCCTTCTTGCTGGGCCTTGAAGGATTGAATGAAACAGGGATGAAGGAGGTGGAATGAGAGTGGGGAGCTAGTTTAAGTGGCAGGTAAGACATTTGCAAAAGGCCCAAAGTGAGGCAGCGGAAATAGAGGTATCCTTTTAAGGACGCCTGGTTGTGGCTCAAGATGCTTCACAAATGTGAAAAGCTGCAGGGCCAGTTCTCGGAGGCCATTATGTTGAAGTCATTCTGGGCACTGTTGGGTGTGGTCACCTGGCCTGTTCCCTTAGCTCACCTCTCCTTGGGCCCCACAGGTACAAGCGCAAGGGGCCTGGGAAGCCGGGGCCATTGAGTGGCTCTGGAGAAGGGCAACTGTCGGTGCTGCAACCCAATACCATCAATGTCTTGGCTGAGAAGCTCAAGGAATCCCAGAAAGACCTATCAATCCCTCTCTCCATCAAGACAAGCAGCGGGGCTGGGAGTCCAGCTGTGGCAGTGCCCACGCACTCGCAGCCCTCCCCGACCCCCAGCAATGAGAGCACAGATACGGCCTCCGAGATCGGCAGTGCTTTTAACTCGCCATTGCGCTCACCCATCCGTTCTGCCAACCCAACACGGCCCTCCAGTCCTGTCACCTCCCACATCTCCAAGGTACTTTTTGGAGAGGATGATAGCCTGCTGCGTGTTGACTGCATACGCTACAATCGCGCTGTACGTGACCTGGGTCCTGTCATCAGCACAGGCCTGCTGCACCTGGCTGAGGATGGTGTGCTAAGTCCCCTGGCACTGACAGGTGAGCCCTGGGTTACCTCACTGCATGATGCAAGGAGGGAGGTTGGAGGTAGCCAGGTGAGCTGCCCTCTGATGGATCTTCTTATGCCTTTTCTTCCTAGAGGGTGGGAAGGGTTCCTCACCCTCCATCAGACCGGGCACCCAGGGGTCTGGCAGCCCAGAGGAGAAGGAGGTGGTAGAAGCTGTGGACGGCAGAGAGAAGACTGGGCTGGTCAGGTCTGGTGAGCCCTTAAGTGGGGAGAAGTATTCGCCCAAGGTGAGCCCCTTTGTGGCTTTCTCCTCCAGTCCTGGCTGAGGGCGGAGCTTGGGCACAGGCACTGGGTTCTTGAGTAGATTTTTTTTTTTTTTTTTTTTTTGCAAATCTTCCTGCTCTGCCTTCAGCAGAGGTTTATTTTATACATTTCAAGCAGGCAGAGGGATGACATTAGCATTGAGTAGAATTTTTATGTGAAACATTGATGGCTACAGTCAGGCACTAGGAAGCCTGTCTGGGTTGGGGACTAGCAGGGGCCCTTGCAGACTCCTCAGGCTTTAGCACTTATCCTTGCCTCTGCCTGCCTCCTGGTGATGACTCTTTGGCTTCGGCCTGTCTCCCTTCCTCCCTCTCCACACTGGATGCAATGCTGGGTTTTGGCAGGAGCTGCTGGCACTGCTGAAGTGTGTGGAGGCTGAGATTGCAAACTATGAGGCCTGTCTGAAAGAAGAGGTAGAGAAGAGAAAGAAGTTCAAGGTGGGACACCTCTCCAGCTGCCTGGTCCTTCGCCCCTGACTGTTCTCCCAGCGGTAACCACTCGGGTCAGTTGGCGGCTGCTCTGGAGAGAGGCTACAGCATTCTCACCTTTCTTACTCACAGATTGACGACCAGAGGAGGACCCATAACTATGACGAGTTCATTTGCACCTTCATCTCCATGCTGGCTCAGGAAGGTGAGGGACTCACTGCTGCATCTTACCTCTGAGCCCTGTGAGGTCTCCCCTCCCTTAGGCCTTTCTGGGCCTTTAGCAGATGGGCACAGGGAGGGCTGGGAGAGCTTCAGCTCTTGGCTTGAGGCTGTGGCCCATTAAACGGTGGCTCTGAGGCGTCCAGCCACTTGTTCAAGGGCCTTGCCTCCCTGCAGGCATGCTGGCCAACCTGGTGGAGCAGAACATCTCAGTGCGGCGGCGCCAAGGGGTCAGTATTGGCCGACTCCACAAGCAGCGGAAGCCTGACCGGCGGAAACGCTCACGCCCCTACAAGGCCAAGCGCCAGTGAGGACTACTGGCCCTGAGACTGCAGCCTGCTCTTGCCGCATGGCCCTCACCAGGGCCTCTTCCCTGCCCTGTTTCCCCTTTTCCCAGTATTACTGAATAGTTCCAGCCGATGAGCCCGAACCCTGGGAAGGTGTCCCAGGGCCTGGCGGGGCTGGTCAGCCCCACAGTGCTCAGGAAGCAGCAGCTGGACCTGGGGCACACGAGGTGCTGCAGCTCTCTCCACAGCCGGCTGTGGAGTGGCAGGACCTGACCTTTCTGCCTGGGCAGCAGAATATATATTTTACCTACAGAGACATCTATTTTTCTGGGCTCTACCCCATCTTGCCACCACTGTGTTGACATAGCTGGCTTCCTGACTCTGCATTATCTCCTAACAGTCGTCATTCTGGTGGGCCCAGGTCCCTGCATCATGCCAGGGTCACAACTGCAGGGCCACAACGGAAGGGTCTGAGTGGGCGTTGGACCTCGCTGCGCTAGCCCCAGCTGCCAGTCATCCCTGTTGTGAGGAAGCCAGGTCCACTCTGTTCCTGGGAGAGCTCCAAACCCAGGGACCTGACTGCGGGGCTAGCGCGGGAGTGGAGTCCCCAGCATGGGTGAGATGAAGAGCCTGCTAGGGTCCCATGGCCTGAGCAGAGGGAAGTGTTTGAGCTATTTGGTGACCTGTAAACCCCTGGCTCCAGCGGGCTTGTCAAGACTGCTCTCTGTGGCCCTTTGATGACAGTGTTGTGGCCCGGGCACTGGGCCTGCCTTGGGCTCCTGAGCTCTGTCCCTGGAGCTGAGACTCAGAGGAGCTTCTGCCCAACCCCTCAGTATTACTGTATCTCCCTCTACTTGGGGATAGCAGAGACAGGGCTGTTTGCAGGAAGCTGGTACCACAGCTTTCCCTGCAATGCCAGCTTCCTCAGCCTTTGCAAGGCACTCAGGGTGGCACAGCAGGACCAAGACAACCAGTTGGAGTCCCTATGTCCCTAGAGAGGGATGCCATTCCCGGGGGAGGGGGGGGGAATAGGCCCAGCACTGCCTCTGGAGCTTGGGCCCCAACCATAGCCCCATGACCTCTGCCAGATGGCTTTGAAGGTGATCCAAGCAGGCCCCTTAATCTGTACATAGTGATGGGGGGAGGGGTGGGCTGCAAGTGGCAGGTATGGCAGATGTACCTGTACTGAGCACAGCCTGACCCCTTTGGCCTCTGTAAATATTGGATCAATGAATGAATAAAATTCTCCTAAAAAATGAACCCTCCTGTGGTTGCTGACCTGAGTTTTGTAGGCTGGGCTAAGATGAAAATGATGGCCTAACCAGGCTCCTGAGCTCATGGCCAGAAAGGTGGTAAGTGTGCCCACAGCCTTCTGGGCAGAGAATTGTTGAGACCCTAGTCCTAGGATTTTGGATCTGAGCTGAGGAAGGCTTTCAGTGGGCTGTGGAACCTGAAGTTGTGAGCAAGATGCACTTGGGACAAGAGGACATACCGGATGATGATAAACCTTGAGCCCCTTGAGTGGCACTCTGTGCTGAAGAGGCAGAGTTGCCTCTAGCCCTGCTGGTACACTGTCGTTAGAGGGCTTTGGGACTTTGGAGTTCTCACCTCTTGTTGCATTTGGGCAAACGCAGCAGGTCAGAGCTGCAACTTATGCCACTCTACCTGCTTAGTGCACAGCAGGCTTGATATAAGCAGCTAAGGCTTATCTGGATTGTTTAGAACACTCAACTTTTAATGCCCCCAGCCCATCTGAGTCTAGTAGTCCAGGGCGCAGATCAGAGCCACGCCACGCTTTATCCAGTGTCTCTGGGGCAGCTTGGTGGGGAGCTCCACAGCAATGACGTAGTTGGTGGAGTGGCCTGTAGTTGATAGTGTTCCTGGAGCAGACAAGAAGAACAGAGGGTTAAGTTGTCTGCCAAAATGAGCCAGGGGCAGGGTGAAGCAGTGGACTTGGCAGATGGGCAGATGGGGTTGAAAACAAGGAGGGACTGTTCAGAGAGTGGGTGTGGCCAAGGCTCAGGATGCCAGGGTTATTGCAATACAGCAGAAGACATGAATGGGAGAGCTCATTCCTAGGGACCAAACCCTGGCCCATCTGCCCACCTCCCACAAACCCCCACCCCCATCTCAAGTGACCTATTCTGAATCTCCACTGGAGGCTGGGACTACCAGGACCCAAGCTGGGTCTGCTGAGGGAGGTATGCTCATGGGCAACCCCTGTCAAACTGACATGACATCAGCCCCCCGGGAATTACCCTTCTTGTTGCTGGCCCAGCTCTGTGTTGACCCCACTGGTCTCAAGAGTGCTGACTGACCTGTCAGCCTTCTGTTCAGCTAAACTGGGTCAGTTTTAAGTGCTCTGGGCTGGCTTAGTCCTGGCCCCTAGCTGTGGTGTTCGCACCCCACCCTGGTTCCCATACCAGCTCGGGTCAGAGTCTTATAGATGGGGCACAGGTAAAAGTTCTGTTCCTCGATCTTGCGGTTGGGTACTGGCAGGAGCCAGATAACAGCCATCTCTGTGTATAACTCCTTGGGCCGGGACTCCGCCAGCTGGAAGGTCACAGAGTCCCAGCGGGCACCTTCTAGGAACAGTCCATGGATGTAGCATCCTTCCTCAGGCCTTGTCTTCAGCTCTGACACACTCTGACTCATCACCTGTGGTAGATATACAGGTACACCCACAAATACCCAGAACCTGTCAGATTCTCTTCTGAGAACTCTGCTTGCTCATCGCTTGACTGCCATTTTGGCTAGCTGCCCAGTCTGGGCCCTGCCTCCCAGGATTTTGCGAGGGCCCATGGCCTCATCTGGCCTCGGTTTTCTTCGGATCTTCCCCAGGAAAACCTGGCCTGGCTCTCCTTGTTCCCAAACCACCACTCAGGGGAGCCATGACTGTCACTCAGCTGTTGGCCTTGGTGCCCCTTCTGCCTAGACCTTATCCCAACCTGTTCTCTGACCTGGAAATTGAAGGAGATGGTGTCAATAGAGATGACAGACTTTCGAGCAAAGTTCTGCAGGGTGCCTGTCAGGAAAGCCTGGGGGAAGAAGAAGCCACTAATCCAGAAGACAGCAGGGATGCCCCCTTGGATCCAGCTCTGCAGGAAGTCCAGGCGCTGCAGCAGGTCCATGACCCACGAGGAGAGTGGCTTGAGTGATGGGTAGGCCTTGACCTTCCAGAGTTCAGGCACAGTGTTGTTGTACAGGCTGGCAGCCATCAACTCCAGCTGTGAGGACATCACTACCAGCCCCTTCAGTGCTTTCAGCAGGTCTCTTAGCGTCTGTGAGATCACCTGCAGCAGCCGGTTGTACCTGTGGAAACAGTGGCAAGGAAGCAGGTAGTGGCCAGGTTTGTGTGGCAGAATCTGTACTCCCCAGTTGAAAGCCATAGAAAAATGGCAGAACATAGGCGATAAGAGCATCGGGCTAGGTTGGCAGTTGGGTTACCAATCCCTGGGCTGGCCCTTAGCAATTGTGTGACTTCATCTATCTGGGGCCTTGGTTTACTCATCTGTAAAATGGGAATAATAAACGTGGCTGAGTTAGAGGATGACTTTAGAGCACTTGGCATGGCCCACAGTAGCTTCATAGTCATTTCCCTATAGTGAACAGTGGCCCGCTGACTTGGGGCTGGGGGTGGCTGGTGGGAGATTACCGAATGACCTCCTGCACTAGCACTGTGTTCATTGACTCCTCATACAACACAGGGTACTTGGTCATCACCAGCTTCAGGTTGATGGACTCAGGCATCTGCAGCAGAATGTTTTGTGCCATTTCCTCTACTATCTGTGGGAGCAAAGGGACACTGGAAGTCAGGGCCAAATCCCATTATCCCTTGCAGGACTCCATGTACACAGAGTTCCTTCCCGAAGGGAGGTGGGCAGAGTGGTGGGTAGGACATGGGACCTTCCCAAACCTTTGGGCCCCTGCCTCCTGCTGCCACCCACCTCCTCCCGGCCTCGGCCACCCGCAGAGGATGATTTGGGTTGCAGCTGAATGATGGCACCGAGCAGGGCATAAGTCTCATTCTGGGCGAAGGTGATGTTGGCATTGTCATGCAGGCCAAAGATCTCAGGCATGTCGTTGAGTGGGAGACTCTTGATGTAGGACAGGTAGCTCTGGAGGGATAGGAGGGCCACAACTGAAGCCCTGCTTTGCTTTACCACCACCCTGCAGCGAGGCCCTCTAATTGAGCACATTTCCCAATCTTCACCCCTTGTTGTCACCTTTCATCATCTCCCTGTTGGGATTCCATGACTTCTGAGGTGCTATGTGAACGGCCCCCACTTCCCCTCCAGGCCCCTTCTCGCGGCCAGCAAGCTCCCTGTTCCTTCATTCAATTGTTCTTACTTGCAAGCTCCCTACACCCTGGACCAAGCCCCTGACATCTGAGCCAAAGCATCACTTCGTCAGGGAAATGATCACTTCCCCTGACGGTGTGGTCAGGTCAGGTATCCCCTTAGAGGCACTGACCCGCCTCACTGAGTAGTGAACACTTGGGTAGCGACTGTAGAGCTAGGAGCTCACCTTGTCCCATAGAGCCTGAGTGCCAGGGCACTGGGCTTGGTCTGCCTCCCACACTGGCTATTTTTGTGGGCAGGATCCAGCATGACAAGGAGCTACTAGAGGGCAGAGCCTTTCACCACACAGCCCAGAGAACGCCCGACAAGGCCCCTGAAGGTGTGCTCACGTTGAGGTCGTAGGTGGGCTGGATCTGGTGGTAGATGCCGGAGGCGCTGTAGCTGTGTTCGGGAAAGAGCACCGCGGGGCAGTAGAAGTCCTCTAGGATGTTCATCACGCAGCGGCGGTCCCAGTCGTCTGTGACGCGGCCCCCATAGTTGATCTCCCCAGCCGTGTACTTGAGGACCTATGGGTGGGCGGGTGAGAGCTGCGGCGAGCCCCCGGCCCCATCCCACCCGAGCCCCGCCCACCTTGTAGGGAATATCTTCATGCTCGTCCAGGAACATCTTGAGCTGGCTGATGCAGATGCGCAGGTCCCCGTCTGTGAACTCGTACGGGATATTGAAGCCCAGGGGCCCAAACTTGCGGCGCTCAAGTGCATTCCCATGGAACAGGCACAGGGAAAACAGCAAGGACTTGAACTCCATCACCTGTGTGGGGAGAGGAGGGCAGTGAGGGCCAAGGACAGGGGTGGGTAGGGCAGAGCAGGTGCCGAATGGGCCTCACCTTGTGGCATGAATTGAGGAAGTCATCGCTGAGGCTGCTGTAAGACTTGAGGAGGTTGGCCTTGACACCACGTGGTGGTTCAATGGTCATCTTGGAGCCATTCTGCAGGATGGACACTGGGAACTTGTTGCTGGGCAGGCTGGTGAGCCACAGACGGAAGTCGCGATGTACCTGGTGATCATGCTCCACTTGAGCATCAAAACTCATACTGGTGGTCACCCCAAAACCCCAAAACTAGGCTCCCTGGGCACCCTTAACCCAGACTGGACCAGGCCAGGCTGCGTGGACTGAATATAGGCTTTCACAAGTGCTGGGGTCACAGATCTTTGCTGGGTGGCTTTGTGTAAGGGACTCACCACTGGTCATATAACTTGGGAGCTACTGAGATTAGCTTAGTCGATGCACATCACATATCTGTTACTGAGCTGAACACTGGCTGGGCTGCACGTTTTACAGAATCTTATTCAGCCCAATCTGTGCTAGACGGACATGACCAGACCCTCCTTCAGCAGAGGAGGACTGAGGGCAGGGTGAGGCACCTTGTCGGGATTGATGTGCTCAATGAGACGCTCAAGGGCTGGCATCCAGCTTGGTGCCAGGTGGCAGTTCTGGAAGAAGACCCACTTGCCCCTCTCTATGGAGGTGCGCATCATGGCTTCTGCCCGAGGACCCTGTGGTGACAGAAGCGAGAGGAATGCAGAGCGAAGGGAACTAGCTGGCCCACAGACCCACCCCTTCTTCCTGCCCCACCCACCACACCCTTACCTGACCCTGGCCCAGAGAGATGGCAGAGAGTTTCTTGGAGAACTTCATCTCTTCGGCAAACTTGTAGAGGTCGGCAGCAGGGTCAGTGCCAGGGGACAGCACAAAGATGAGGGGGGTGGTGGAGTTGGAGTCTTTGAACACCAGTGATAGGTTTGCTGTCTGCAGGGCAAGCACAGATGCTGGAGCCACCTGGGACTGAGGAGAGAGGGGCAGGCACAGGGCAGAGGAGAGGGGTCCTGGGGCTCCCAGGAGGGTCCCGGGGTGCTTCCCGAATGGGCCTAGAACCTACCAGAGCCTTGATGGGTAAGCTAAGACTCCCTGTCTGCCCAAGGCTTCAAAGTAGCCCGTCCAGCTGCAGCCAGAACCCTAGGACCCAGGGTGGGGCTTCTCCCAAAGCACCGGCTGACAGCACTCGCCTGGGGCTCAATGAAGCGTGGCTCCAGGTTGGTGGCCACAAAGTCCTGCATGGCATTGGTAACCTTGTCCCCACGTAGGCAGCGGAGGATCAGCAACCTCTGGAACTGGTCCAAGTACTGGTCCCAGATGCCAGGCAAGGGCTCCCTGCAATAGGGCCCATGTTTTTCTGAAAGCCAACCTGGGGAGGGCCCTGGTCATGGGAACTCTGCCAGCTGGACAGCAGGGGAGGGTTCATGGCCAGGGGCATGGAAAAGACCTGGTCACAGCTGCAGGCCAAGCCTGGGGGCCCCTTGGGGAAGGTATCTAGATAGGACTACTTTGGGGGCCGCACCCTGTGCCCATACTGCATGCCCTGGGGCCCAGCTCACCGGTGGGGCTCAGGGCTGTCAAAGATGGCCTGGAATTCTGAGAGGTGCTTCACAAAGTCAGAGGTGAGGGAAGAAAAGGCTGGCAGGTTCGACAGGGCCAGGATGTCTCTCCAGGCTCTGTCTGAGAGCCAATCTGGTGCAGGGTTCTCAGTCATGGTCTGGATGGAGCCCCCAGACAGGAGGTAGCGCCACTCACTCTGCCAGGGGGTGGGGATGGGGTGGCTGGCATTCAGGTCCTGTGTTCTGTATCTGGGTACCCCTCACTCAGCAGTGCCCCCTGCCTCCCTCTTGGATACGGCAGTGGACAGCCTGGCTAGTGTCCCTTCTCCACCTTCTCGTGACTGTGTGACTCCAACTACACCCCAGGAGTTATGCGGGTGGGTGAACCCAGTGCACATGAGGGCTGTCACTGCCTCGGCGACTAGCTGGGGCTCACGGCGCGTGAGTGGAGAGGCTCCCGGCAGCCTCGATGCTCATCTGTACACTGGGGCTCTGCAAAGACCTGTGCTCAAGGGGCCAGTGGGCCCAATTAACCCAGGGTCCCCAGGCTGTTTGAGAGCAAGGAGCTGTTTCCTGAGGGCTCTGTCCCTTGGCTTTGATGTGCCCTACTGCCTGGCTTTCCCTTTCCCTCCACCCTGTTCCCTCTGACTCCGCAATGCCTCAGGCAGTCTGTCCTGGGCTTCTGGCTCCCCACCCCCCACCTCTGTGCTAAGGCACCTGGTCGATCTTGCCCTCATTCATCATGATGCGGACACACAGCAGGAAGGCGAACATGAGCTTGTGCTTCTCAAAGAGGCTGCGGCAGACATTGCAATAGAGGCTGTAGGTCAGATAGCGGTTGATGTTGGTGATGCGCTTCTTTAGGTTGTCTGCAAGGCACAGAGGCGATGGCAGCAGGCAGGGAGAGGGGAGGGAAGAAGGCCCCTGGGAACCAGCCTAGTCAGCCTACCCAGCAGCCACAGAGGCAGCCAAGTTCCCAGGGAAGGGGCTCTGCGGAGGGAGAGAAGGGGGCGTGTGCTGGTGTGGGTCTGACGGGAGAGCTCGTGCCATGAGTGTGTGTGTTCACATGTGTGTGCCCACTGTGGCAAAGTGTCCACCTACCTGCCCTCTCTGAGTTGGTGATGCCTGAGAGGAAGATGTTGAGAAACCACTCGAGGGAGTACTGGTACATGGGGTCCACGTTGGCCAGGTCAGACACACAGAAGAAGAGGATCTGGGTGCGGACGGCCACAGGTATGTACTCCATGCGCGTGAGGTCAATGTCTTTCTCTGTCTGCTCTGCAATCCTGACCTTGGCCTGGGGGTACAGAAGGGGAATGGTGGTCAGGTCCAAGTAGGCTGACAAAGAGCAGAAGGTTGAGTGGGTGAGGGCAGGGATCAGGCCGAGGGCAGGTGAGGAAAGGCCGGAAGAGACAAGCAGGGGTGGGCAGGCAGGCAATGGCCGACCTGGATCTCAGCAGCTTTCATCTTGGAAGCCTCCAGCACCTTGATGAGCTCCACGTCATCCACGGGGTTGCCCTCAGAGGAGCTGAGCCGGTACAGGATCTGGTCTTCAATATCTTTCAGTTCCTGGCGCATCTTGGCGTTACTGACAATCAACTGGTTCTTGGCTTCTTCTAGGTCAGGCCGCTCCTCAGCCACTACCTGACCCAGCAGTTGGTCCTCTAACCCACTGCCAGGGGCCGGGAACACCGTCTCTGTAACACCAGGTGGGCCCTAGAGGCCAGCCTGGAGCCTGATCACCTATCTAGCTGCGCTCCTGGGACTCCAGGAACCCAGGAGTTGCTGCTGGTGTCAGCCTGGGGGGCCTAGCCTCTGTCAAATGCACAGCTTGCCTTCAAGTGACCACTAGTTCTCAGTGAGACTTCTGATGGCAGCCTAGAATCCCAGTAGGGTCAGGTAGCTGGATGTGTGAGCTGGTAGTGTCTCCCAAAGTCTCCCTTTCAGCAAGAGGTGGCTGAGGGGGACTGGAAGGGCAGGCCTTAGGGGTGCTTTACGCCATGTTCTGTGGAGAAACTCAAGTGGCCACTGGCGTGGAGAACTTAGCATGAAGTGGGCCTGTGGGCTCTGGGAGCCTGTGGGCACTGTGTGGGCCAGCCAAAGTCATAATGCCTGGGATCACAGCATGAAGGGCAGGAAATGGGGCTTTGGTACAAGGAGTCAGAGTGTGCTCAACTCAGGGAATAGCTCCAGAATAGCTCTGAAGTATACAAGCACCCAGCAAAGGCTGAGAGTCAGGCGAAAGGAACCGGAGGTTTAGGAGTCCTGAGCAGGGATCGGAATGAGGAGGGGGTAGGGGTTCTTATGTAGAAGTGGTGGCAAGTAAGAGGAGCTGGTGGAGGGTCTAGAAAGGATCTGGAATTCTTGGGTCACAGTGCCTGGGCCAGAATGCCTGGGAGGATGCTGTCAGAGCCTCTGAGTGGGGTGAGACCCACTGAATCGCAGCCTGAGAGCACGAGGGGCGGCTGGGCAGGCTGAGGAGGCCTAGGGGCTGAAGCTTACCTGGGCGACAGGGTGAAGTTGATGAGGGTGAGTTTGGTGAAGACCTCGGGTGTGTAGTGTGGATTGGGCAGCTTGGTGGTGATATACATCCTGAAGTCCTCATGGTAAGGGATCACCGTGTCGCCCAGTTTCAACACTGTGTTCCCCTGCTGCTTGTACGTCTGTGATCAAAGATATGGGCAAGCACTGTGGCCTGGGCCCCACTAATGAGGCAGGGGAAGGGGGCTGCCCTCATCCCTGTTCCTCGGCCACTCTCAGGCCACCCCTGCTGCAGGCCCACCTGCTTGAGCAGCACCGGCTCCAGGGCTGGGTCCAGCTCCTCGCCCACGTTCTCCAGAAGGCAGGGCTTGCCAAAGCGGATGGCATTCTCCATGCTGCGCAGGAAGTCACGGTCAGTCAGCTTGAACACATCCAGTCCGTTGTCCTTCTCCTGTGGGTGCAGGGGGCAATTGGAGGCTGTGAGCCAAATGTGTAGGTCAGCTACCCCCCAACCCCCCACAGATACTGAGCACGTTGGGTGAGGTGGTGGCACCTGACAGCAGCCTCACCATGTTCTTGATCCATTTGTTGGCCTGGCTCTGTGGGTCGATGAAGTGGGTCCAGCGCTGGGAGAAGTGGTTGATGACCCCATTCTCCACGGACAGTGTGTCATTGGGGAGGCCAGCGATCTGTGGGGCACCGGGCACCGGGCCGGGTTGGGGTTCTCGTATGAGTTGGCCAGGCGGGGGATTAGCTATCTCCAACCTCACGCTTTGGCTGTGTCTTTCCCTCTCCTTATTGTTCCCTTTGTAGAGGGCAGGCAGCAAGGGCTCAGCCCTCCAGGTTCCCCATTTCTCTCCTGCTCAATGGTGGGCTCCTGACACCCCCCTCTGCTGGGAGCTCTTCTGCCTCAGCCCTACCACTAGGATCACACACAGTGTCTGCCTCTAGGCTCTGTGTTCTCCCTGTCCCGCAGGGTCTAACTCAGGCACGACTTTTTTTTTAGGGAACCTTTGTTAACCCTCACTCTGAACATTGTTCCCGAACCCACTCTTGCAAGCACCTCTTGCAAGGGCCCACAGCTAGCCAGCAGGAGTGCCCAGTCAGCTCCTCTTCCCTCTCTATGCACCCATCTTCATGGTGGGCTCTGGGTGGGCTCAAGGGAGGTATCCCTGAGGATACCCAGGGAAGAGGGTGGAAGGGAGACAGGAGGCTGGCTCCAGCCCACCCTGGACTACATCCCCAGCCCAGCCCAACCATTCCAGCCCCCATCCCCCCCGGGGTGAGCACCTGCCACGAGCGGATCTTCACAGGGTTTCCCAGCGTTCCGATTAGCGTGGGCTCGCTAGTGTGTGGGACTTGGTGGGCTGTGAGCTGATGCACCCAGCTGTTGTAGAGCACAGTGCGGTACTGGCCCTGGGGGATGCCAGAGTCAGGCTCAGCCTCCCCTCACACACATCATGCCGGCCCTGCACGCCAGTGCCTGGCGTGTGCACAGTGGTCAGAGCACAGCCCTGGGGCTGGACGCCGAGGCCCTGTGGGTGACTTCCTTGGTGTCTATGAATCCCAACCCCTCATGTGTGAAACGGGTACTGACAACAACGCCCACCTTCAGGGCAACCATGCATGAGTGCACACAGCAAGCACAGAAGTCAAGTTCCTTCCCGCTGGAGGGCGGGCTTTCTAGCTGTTTTATACACCACCGCCCCTTCGTGCCCGAACAGCGCCTGGCTGAGAATGGGTGCCAGGTAAGTGCTGGCTAAATGAGTGTTGGAAGAGCCACCTGTAGACCACCCCTTGTGGAAGTGAGGCCTCAAGGCATGGCCTCTTTGGGAAGTGACACTGCCCAGGCAGGACTGGGCAGGACTTACCGTGAAAGGGCCCAGGTAGGCCACAAAGCCAGCGGCCACCAACACATCACCGGAAATGTTGTCAAGCATGTGCTCCAGGTTCTCCACTGTCTCCTGCCAGCGCACCTTCTCATCTGACAGCCCGTTGATGAGCTGCAGAGGTAGATCATGGCGGGGTCTCTGGGAGCCTGGGCGGGGACCCGGGTTTCCCTGCCTGGTCCCGCCTACCCTCTATGCTGCTAGGGCAGGGTACAGACAGACACCGCTGAGCCCAGACACTTCCAGACCCAGTCTAGGCAGGCCACACCCACAGCCCTTCCCTGAGCTGTGCACACCTTACTAGCACGGCCTAGCCGCTGCTCACACTGCTCACACTTCAGCTCTAGCTCCTCCTTCTTGGTGATGCATTCTCGGTACTTGGCCTGCATCATGGAGATGCCATCTTCCACCTCGTGCAGGCGCTGCTTTGCCTCCTCCAGGATCCTCTGCGTCACCTCCAGGTCATCCTGGGCCTCCCTCAGGGCTTGCTGCAGGCAGAAGGCAGGAGGCCAGCAGACTGCCCTGGGGGTCCCACGTCTTCCTCCCTCTTCCCTTGCCCTCCTGTTCTACTCAGCCCTCACCCGCTTGGGCTCCACGGCTTTGGCCACGAAGTGGTACTTGTGCATGGCGCGCACCCACTGGCAGATGGAGGTACAGGCCTTGGATACCTTGGCGATGGCGGCAGGCTGGAACTCTTCGTTGTCGATGTAGGGCTGGATGGCTTTGATCACTGCCTCCCCAATGTTGTCCTGGGATGGAAACCTTGGGTCTCAGGGTCCTGTGTCCCTGGGGGGCCTGGGCAGTGGTGCCTGAGGAGGGATGCTCTGACCCTGCCTCTCTGCACCAGACCCCATGTGGGACTCAGTACAGGTGTTCTCCTTAGGGAATAAATGGCCAAAAAAGGCTGGCCAGAAGAGGAACTTGAGTGTTTCCAGGAGTTGAGGTGACGCAATTGAAGATTTCTTCCTCCAGAAACAATGTAACCTCAAGACCAGATGATACACAGGCCCCATTTAAGACTCATTTAAGAGACCAGGGCTGCTGCTTGGCCCACGTGAAGACAAGTGAGCAGTTCTGATGCCCAGCCAGGCACATGTTTGAGAGCTCACCACACTCCTGGGCGCTCATCTGGGAGAGTCTGACCATGTAGTTCAGGACTCTGCACTGCCCACGAGCTCCCTGACGTGAGTGTACTGGCCATGAGACCTTGGGTTTGGGCATAATTGGGCCTGTGTCCCTCTGATTTTCAGTCTTGTGAAAGAAGAGAAGGGAGAGTCCTGAGGGGGATCAGCTGCCACTGAACTAGGCCATTGTCTCCACACTCCCAGTGAGCCTGGAAAGTGCTAATTTTATGGCTGAAGAGGTGACCTCCCAGAGAGCTGGGGCCCCAGGCAGACCTAGTCATGAAGAAGCCCCCAAGAGAACATATGCCCGCGGACGTAAGCAGCTCCGAGGGAGAAAGGCAGGCAGAGGAACTCGGAGACAGACTGAGGGAGCTCAACCTGAGGCTCTGAGGTGGAGGGGAGCAGTGTGGAGTAGTCGGTGGGGCCTTAGCAAGGCTCGGGTGTCACGAGGAGGAAAGAACACAAGAGAATCTCAGGCTGCAGAGCCTTGGAGGGAGTGTCCTACAGCCACAGGAGCCTTCCTGGGTCCTGATTTCCTCCAAAGCCATCTGTGGGTGGGACCACCCCCCACCCCACATCGGCTAGAGACTTCCTCTGAGCCAGGATGTGGCCCCAGACAGAGGGACACAAGGCAGAGGGACACAAGACAGAGCCTCACTATACAATGGGCAGGCCCCGCTCCCTGCTCCCTGTCCAGCTGGGTCCTGCCTTCACTTGCTGGCCGGCCAGAGGCCTGGCACGCTCACCTTGTCAAACTTGAAGAGGCTCTCAAGGAAGCGGCCTGGGTCCTGCAGTAGCCCCTTGCCAGGCTCCCAGTAGTCATCCACCTTGGTGCCAGGCTTCTCTCCAGGCACTTTCTTGGGCTTTATGCCCTTCATGATACACACAGCTTCTATGACCAGTTTTACACCAGGGGGAGGGCGCTGCATGGCACGCACCTGTGGGCCAGGGCACATGGGGGGAAGGAGGCCCATCGATGATCGCTGCCAGACAGCGTGGGCCCCACCACTCAAGTCCTTACCACCAAAGACAAAGGGGCGCCTCAGCCTGCAGTTCCTACTGCTCCCCCAGCAACCTAGTCCTGGCCATGATGCTCAACTCTCAGGGCCAAGCGCTTCCCCCACATACGCCTGACCCCTCGTATAAAGAGGTAAGAGTAGGCAGTTGAAGCTGAGTTCTAGTTCTGCCCTCGCCTCTTAGCACATGACCACCAAAGCATGTGTAGCGGGAGTGCTTGGGGGGTAGACCAGAGAGGCACAAGGAAGGAATGTGAAGGGGAGCAAGGGACAGGCCCCACCTCAGTCACGTCATTCTTGTTGAGGTTGCGCAGGCTGGCCAGGGCTGCATCCAGGGCTGGCAGTGCCTCATCCAGATCCTTCTGGGCATCATCAGCAATAGCTTGCGCCTTCCTGGCCTTCTCATTGGCTTTGATCTCCTCGGCCTGCACTGAATTCCGGGTCTCCTCGGCAATGGTCGTGTCCACCTGGCGATCGGAGGTAGGAGGGGCCCAGCTGGTAGCCAGTGTTGGGGCAGGTGTGGAGGAGTGGGGGTGGGGAGGAGAGAGGAGCAGCCAAACTCAGGACTCAGGTACAGTGCAGGCTTTGGGCGCCCGGCACTCAGTCTGTTGTGATGATCCGCGTGTAGACCTGTCTCCGCTGCCCAGGGCAGTGCCTGGCACACAGTAAATCTAACCAAGCATTTGTTAAATAAACAAATGTTGACTGAACAAGGTAAGGGCACAGAGAGGCTAAGCAGCCTCCAGAGGCTGGGCAGCTAGTGACCGTGTGTCTGCACAGCGTGCCCAGTATTCTCAGACACAGCCTGACATCAGGGACGGGGCTCCCCACCCCACCTTGATTTGATCCATGGTGAGCATGGTGTCCTTGGCAGCCTCCTCCAGTAAGGGGCGCATAATCTCCAGTTCCTCTTGCATCTTGGCCACGTCCTCTGAAGTGCTCAGCAACTGGGGGTCAAGAGGCACAGACAGGCGATCGTATATGCGGGGACCAGAAAGCAGGGTCGGAGGGCCAGGGGAGGGCCTGTGGGCCGCCCTCATTTGTGAGTGAAAGGCTATGGCTGGCCGCAACAGAGGCTCCATGTTGCTCAGCAGATCCCAAGGAGAAGACATAGTTCCCTAAAAATCTGTGGGTGCCCTGCTTTGGACGTGCTTTTGGTTGGCATCTTTTACCATCTTGGTGAGGTAGGAAGCCACCCATTTAAATTCATGAGCTGCTAAATTAAAGGCTGGGCCACCCTGAGTCGCAGCTAAGATGGTGTGGGCAGAACTAGGGACAGCAAGTCACTGGCCACAAGTCTCGCCCAGCCTACCTTGTCCAGGCCACTCTTCATACGGTTCTTGGCAGTTTTCAGCTCCTGTTTCTTTTGCCCAATGAGGAAGGAGAAAATGTTGAGCAGCTCCAGATAACTTTTGGGGGTCACGTAGTTGTGGCGGGCCAGCTCAGCCAGAAACTCAGTACACTTCTGGGCCACCGACTGGTGGATATACACACAAACCTGAACCTGCAGGGTGGAAGACGGCTGCTGACACCAGGGTGTCCTCAAAGCCACTGCTGCCTGATCTCAAGGAGAGAGCCGCGTACAGGAACCTCAGTGCCCCTCACACCTCCAGCTCAAAGTCACCCATTCTGCAGATGAACAAGCCATGACCCAGAAAAGCGAAGCGGCTGTTCAAGTTCACAGCTGTCAAGGCAGAGCTTGTTTTGAACGTGGACCCTGGTGTCTCCGGGTCTTGGCCAGGTGGCCTTATGACAAGCCACGTGACCTGCCTCTCTCTGAGAGCCCTAAGGTGGGACCTTCCTCGGAGGCTGGATCTGAGAGGAAGGAGGGTTTTGGCACAGCTGGCTAGAAACAGGCTCAACCAGTAACCACCGCTCTCTCAGATCAGACAAGACAAAGCACATCTCTTCATCTGTGGTCTTTGGGGTGTATTGGTATTTTTTGAACAAATCTGCCACGAAGTCCCCAGGAAATAAGAACAGTGATGGTGCGACAGCATGTGTGACTCCTAACACCACCCTGTGGCATTCCCATTACACAGGGAAAGAGACTGAGGTGAGGCTTTCTGCCCAAAGGTTTACCGTCAGTGGTGGGCCTGGGACTCTCCCAGGTGGCCCCTAAGTCCAAACCGAAACAGTTCCCCCAAGAGCTTGTTCTTATCCAAGGCACCTACCATTCCTTCAATTACAGTGATGGTGGAATCCAGTCCTGGAATCTCGTTCAGGAATGTGATGGCCACAGACTCCAGGGCTTCTGCAGGCCACTCATTAAACCAGTCAATAGTACAGCAGTTGACCAAGGAGGGGAACTGCCGCAGGCGAGCTCGAAAGACCTCTCCGATGGGGCTGGGGAGCCAGGGGTCCAAATGAGGCCCTGAGACACTGACTGACACCCCCCAGGAGCCATGGCATGCCAGAGGCAACACAGCCATGGCAGCCAGAGGCAACAGCACAGCATCCTGGACCCAGTGGTGTGATGGCCACACCTGGGCCACTGCTCCCCAGAGCAGGCCCAGATGCACCCCCACCCAGCTCTGCTGCCCCTGTGTGTCTGCGATGCTGCCTATACCTCATACACAGCACCATGTGGATGTTGTTGCGTACACGCCCAGTATAGGTGGCCATTAGGTTGGCCTTGGTGGGCTGCAGGCCCTGCTCCTGGATCAAGGGCCGCATGGCAGTGATAATCTGGTCCTGTTCATCCAAGTTGTAGAGGTTTGGAATGTCACCCGAGTTCAGGACATTGTTGATGTCCTCCAGGAAGGACTCATTTTTGATCTGGAGGGGACAGGATGGAGGAACTAAGCTTTGATGATGGTCTCTGGTTGCAGGTTCCACCACCATGGTTTTACTGACCCTTCAGAGAAGCTCCATTCCACAGACCTTGACTCCAAGGCAGAAAGAAGGCCAGGGTCGCACAGTAACTTCATAAGTCATGGTCCAAGATTTGCACACAGATCTGCCCTACTGACCACACCACTGGGACATATTCTGGGTCCTTCCACATGGGTCCTTCTCACACCATGCCTCAGTTTACTCATAGGAGAAAACCAGGCCACAGGCAAAAAGGGGTGCCTGGTCATCTTACATGGCCAGAGTCTGGTCTGTGCCAGAGGGTAGCCCCACTTGCCTAAACTATGTAAAGGCAGCCCTGGGTGAGGGGTAAGGCTTGGAGCAGAGGAGACCTTCCACCAGGTGGGACACATTTCAGACATCAGTCTCAGCTCCTCCCTGATCACAGCTGTGGTAAGTGTTGCCCTGTATGTCTTGAGACCCCAGACCCACAACTTCTTGTCTCAGAGACCTGGGGAGAGGCGTCATGCCTGGGGAGTTCCAGAGGGAGCAGCTTGGGCATAATGCTTTGGTGTAAGACCTGTGGTGCTAGAGAGAGGAAGCCCTTGGCCAGTGACCATTGGCCACCTATGGTCAGCCATGGTGCCAGGAGCCTTCTGTATGCTGATCTATGGGCTCAGTTCTGTCAGGCTGGGTTGGGTCCTATGCCCCTATGTGGCTCTACCAGATTCCAGTGGTCCCTCCCAAGATCCAGTTCAACTCACTCTAACCTGGGCATAAAGGACTGCTTTCCAGGATGCCACAATGGGATGAGGTTGTATCCAGCCCACCCTGGACCCTGCCCATTGCCCATGGTAGTGGCACCTGGGTGTCCGAGAACAGGAAAGTGATGGGCAGGTTTTGTAGGCCAGCCTTGAGCAAGACCCTCTTGACATCTTCACGCCATTCAGTCATGCCATAGTTCTTAGACAGCTCAATCTGGAAGCACTCATATTCGGCCCTGAGGATAGATATTTGGGTAGAGGAGGGTCAGAGGTCAGGGTCAAATGCTGAGGGGCTGGTAGGTGCCCACACCACCCCAGCTGGCCAGAATCTTGTTCCCTTCCTGGGAAGACTTGAAGGCTCTACAGTCCCTGAACCTATGTTTTGTCTCCTCATCTTTGTTCAGGGCCTTCCACAGCCCAAGAAAAAAAAAAGTACAGCAGTCTGGAATGTCCTTCCTGTCCATGCTCCCAGCTGTGGTAGCTGTGACTCTGAGAGCAGGCCCAGGGCCACCTCCTCTAAGAAGCATCCCGGACGGACACAGCTACGCTCCTGTCCCCACAGCACCATTGGACATTGCTGCTGCCTCTCCTTGGAGCTCGGGTCCCATTCTCAGTCCTTCCAGAAGCCCTAGGGCTTGGGTGGGTCTGATGTAGGGCGGGTCTCTCCCCCGCTCCTGCCACCACGGAAGAGCACAGACAGAGCCAACAGCCTGCCGTCAGCCACCCACTGCCCCCCACATCTGGGGCCCTCACATGTGCGAGGCGAGTCGTGTGAGGGAGCTGCGGCCGCTGCCGCCCACGCCCAGCAGGAGCGCATTGCCCAGTGCCTGGCGAAGGGTGCGGCTGATGCGGCAGATGTGGCTCATGGCGTCCATGAAGAGCACCAGCTTCAGCTTGGTTGTGTTGATCTGGTTGTAGTCCTCCATGTACTCCTCGATCACCTGCATCATCTGGGGGCCGGGAGGATGGGAAAGCTGGATGCTCCCCGTGTTCCCAGGCACTGGGGGCACACCCCCTCCTCTGGCCAGCCCTGCTCCTCCCCACATGAAGGGTGTTGACTCTTAAGAGGTCAGGTTCGTCTGAATTAGGCCTGACCCATTGGACACATTGAGACCCAAGGGTCAGGGTCACAGCCCTGTCTTCTGACTTAGGAATTTGCCAGAAAGTGCTGCTCTGGGACCCTGGAGGGCACTCCCAAGAGATAGGGGATGTGTGAGAGAGAAACCCTCAGGAAGCACACTCTGTGCTCGGCGCCGACACCACTGAAGGACGTTTCCTTCTGCCTTCTTGAGGCCCTGGCCTGGACTCGAGCCCAGGGACCCTGCTGGCCCCTCTGTGGGAGGAATGAGAGCCCCTCAAAAAGGCACAGAATGCTCCTGTTACAGTGCTGGTTGCTGTTAATCGTGGGCTGTTCTTGGAGACGGGGCAGCTGGGTTGCTGCTCTCACCGACAGGAACCACACTCCGAGCCAGTCCTGGCCTGATGCCACGAGCCAGCCTCCTAACCCAGGGCTCCTAACTCTGAGCCTCTGCCGCAGCGTCACGGTCCACTAGCAGTCACCACAGAAGGCCTGCATCACTGCAGAGGGTGGGGGGTGGAGAGAAGAAAACCCGACCAGGTAGTCCATCGGCCCCTCACCTTTTTCTCACTGGTGATGAGCTCATAGGACTTGACATCGGAGCCGGGCCACATGAAGTCCCCATAGAGGATGGGCTGGAAGGGGCAGACCTCATCAAAGGCCACCTCCCACTGTCCCATCTGCATCTCCAGGAGCTTGTCAAACCAGCCGCGGTCCTCCTCATTCACCAGGCGGTCGCGGAACACGCGGCAGTTCTCGTGATACCACAGTCGAAGCAGCTGTACCTTGTCCTGCGACCACCCCAACATCGTCACCCTGGGCCTGGGCCCTCAATCACTTCTCCATACACCAGGGGTGGGAGAATGGCTGGGAGCATAGCTCCTGCTCTCCCAGCAAGACCTGGCCAGGACCCCGTGAGGGCTGCTATGAGGTGTCGGTGCTAAGAACAGAATGAGCCACGTGGTGCTGCCTGGACCTGGCCACCTCTTGCTCCAGGCCCAACTGACCAAGTACAATCTGGGCCCCTGGCACCATTAGCTGGCCAATGCTTCTCCATTCTTAAAGCACTCATGGCACCCAATCCCCCAGTTCTAGGAGGGATGCCTAATTCTCCTCACACCTTCCTGACCCCCGATTCAGCAAGCCTCACTGACTGCCCCCACCTCAGTGGGCTGCCACCTCCATCCAGGCTCCCCCATCTTTCCCTTGGAAGCCCTCAAACGCTTCTCTCCATTTCTTGGGCAACAGCTTGGCAAGGGTCAGCTTCTGTCCTGTCCACCCTCTCTCAGCAGCCCCCAGATGTGCACACACTGACCCATCCATTCCCCATTCCAAAATGCAAATCTGCCCCCTCCTTACCCACTTGGGTCCCCATCACACCCAGGACACTCTCCCCCTCTACCTCAACCCAGCACAACTGACACCCTACTCCCTGCCATCTTTCCTGTTCCTTCCATTGGGGTATCTTTGATTCCTGGAAGGCACCCCACTTACTCTTTCCCCCAAATCTTACACACCCACTACCATCAGGAACTCTCTCCCTCCTTGCCTTACTCTCGTGTGACCCCTCCTTGCCCCTATTTCCTAGGCATGGATTTGATCTGCAAGATGGGCTTCAGCTAGAGTTTCTGAGGTGCTGGTGCCTGCCATGAGGACCTGGCCTGATCAGCGCTGGGGAGTAGAGACTCCCTGGTGGTGCAGGGGTAAAGTCTCAGTGCTATTAAGATATCCTCAGTCACTGTGGCCTGAGTTTGATCCTGGCCAGGGAGCTGACCCACATGGCACAGCAGACCTCTCCTGTCTAGACTGCTGTTCCCTGCAGCAGTGTATGGTCTGGAGGTATTACAAAATGAAACTAGATGAGAGACAGTAATTGGAGGAAAAAGAACTGGAAAAGAATAAGTAAAACTATCTCTATTTACAGTTACTGAATACTTAGAAAACCCCAGGGAATCAATGACAAAATAATTTTAAAATTTAAACCCAAACATTAAAAGATTTCAGTAAGACAAAATTAGCATAAAGAAATCAGCTGATATAGTAGAGAAATTCCCATTTTTAATAGCAACAAAGAAGATAAATACCTTTTTAAAAGATTTAAAGCAGGGAACATCCCTGGTGGCAAAGGGGTTAAATTCTCAGCAATGTCAAGCTATTTCCAGCCACAGTGGCTGATACTGATATACTGTAGAACAACTCGTATTGGAGGGTATAAAGTGTCTGAGTTACAATTTTCTTCCCTGGAGACCACAGAGAGGTAAATAGTCACATGTGCCCTTTGATTTAAAATGAACTTATCCAGGCCTCTGGGGTGGTGCAGGGGTTAAAGTCTCTGTGCTATCAAGCTATGGCCACCCACTGAGTTCAATCCTGGCCACAAGGTGCAGCAGACCTCTCCTGTCTCACCTGCTGCTCCCCTCAGCAGTGTTCCCCACTCTGTCTTTGGTGAATAATCTTACCCTTTGCACCTCTGGCCTGCACCCCAGTTCTTGCATTCATAAATAAAAATAAATCTTAAAAAAAAAAAAAAAAAAGCTGGGGCGTATTTGGACAGGAGGCCTAAAATTGGTGTCATGGAAGAAATGTGTGGGTATGCCTCACTGGCCACTGGGGAGGCAGGGACCTGCCAGCTCCTCACCTCGACCTTGGATGGCTCGGCCATGAGCATGCCCTGGAAGACTTTGGAGAGGTCCCTCAGGTTGAAGGTGTAGTGGGACTTGGCTGGGGTGGGCAGCAGCTGGGACGTGATGGTAGAGTATACCAGGATGGTGGCTTCCACAAGGGGATCTGTGAAGTGGGTGATGTTGGGGGCCCCAACTGTGGAAACAGGACAGCGGGCCTAAGTCACACAGGTATAAGCTTTCTGTGCAGCCTCTGCAGACCCTACGCCCCTTATTTTGACAGAGGTTACGTCTTCGTCCCACATGCCCATTCTCCAGCCTCTAGTCCCTCTCAGATGCCACCTCCACCACAGAGTGAGGGATCTCCCACTCTGACGCCCCCTCTTACAACCTATTAACAATGTAGGCTGTCCCGCACACGAGCCCTGGAGTATGCTCATGAATGTGGGGACACCAGTGGGGTGCTGGGTGGGGCCATGGCTGCCTGGCCCTAGGAGGCTGGGTCCGCTCTGAGCCATGTCCTGGGAGGGCACGCGGTGCACAAGGGCGGACAGGCACTTAGCTGCTGCGACTGTTGGAGCTACTGCAAACTTCAGCCTGAATTTTCACCATCCTATAACTGATTTGCTTGCTCTTTGAAAAATACTGTGAGGTGAAACTTGGGGTAAAGGGAGTCCTCAGAAATGAGGAAATTAAAGTGTCAGTATCCCCAAAGAGAGGTCTGTTCTAACTCCTGGACACAGAGGACTGCTCCCCCAGACACTCTCTTCAACCTCGACAGATATTCTCATGGGGAGACAGGCAGATGCCCCTCCGTGGACCGTAAGGGACGACGGGGTACTATGGAGAAATGTGCCGCAGGAGAGGCTTGGGAGAGCCTGGGGTGTGGGTATTGACATAAAAGCTGGCGGAGGATGTCTGGAGGAGGGCACTCAAGCAGAGACCTGAGAAGGGAGAGGCAAGCAGGAACTGGAGGCGTGCTTCCGGGAGGGCAGCAGGGGCACACTGATGCCCCTTAGGAGGGGCTAGAGCTGAGGAGTGATGAAGGGCCACTCAGTTCAGCTGGCTGCTACCAGGACTTGACCTTTTTCCTGCAAGTCCTGGTAGCAGCCAGCTGAACTGAAAAGGATGAGGTCTGAGTTCATCTGACTGGGTCCCTCTCGCTGCCACTGGAGGAGGCTGCGGCCATGGCCTGGTGAGCGGGGTGGTGGGCTTTACCGGACTCAGCTGGCCCTGCAGGGAGACCCAGCAGGACTCCTGACATGAGAACCAGGTCTGTGAGGGAGAGGGAGGTGAGCCGAGTCTCGGAGGATGGGGCCGGCACCTGAGATGCAGGGGTGGGGCAGTGGCTGCACTTAGACATGTTCAGCCTGTGGTGCCCAGCACCTCAGATAGGGAGGTGGGGTTGGGAGCTCAGGAGAGAGGTGTGAAGACACAGTGCTGGTCTCATCAGCAATGGGAGTTGGGGGGCGGGGGGCTACTGCCAAGGGCGGGTGAGACTGCCCAAGGAGAGCCTAGCTAGGGAGAAGCAGCTGGACAGCAATCCCAGAGAAGGTGAGCACCGAGAACTGACCGAGCCCATGGTGACAAGACCACTGTCCTAGCAATGGCGGGGCTCAAGGGAAAGTGGGAGAGGACTAGCACCAGCAGGAAGAGACGAATTTTGAGTGCTTTTCTGTCATGATGAACAGAGAAATGAAGCATGGCTTGGGGTGGGTGGGAAGGGGGCTAGGAGAGGCTGTTTTGTTGCTGTTGTTAAGATGGGAGAAGCTGGGACATGTCTGCGTGTCGACGGAATGGCCCAGTGGAGAAGGGAATACTGGCACTGGGGAACTGGGGGTGGGGCCGCGTCTTCGGGCAGACAGCAAGCCTAAAAGGAGGGCCTGGCCTTGCCCAGGAGCAAGGAAGCTCATGCCAGTGACCCTGGTGCAGGGGAGCAGTGGATATGGTGCCTACACAGGCACCGCCTTCTGTTGGTGTCTCAGCCGGGGCGAGGAGTCTGGAACGCCAGGTGGGGGCAGCGGTCTGAGGTGGTCAGTCACCCTGCTGCAGTGACCAACAGATCACGTGGCATGAGCGTGCCACATGGAGGACGCTGACCCCTGCTCAGGCTCATGCCCTCTCTGTGGGGAAGGCTGGCTCTCTCTGAAACTTCTAGCTCTTGACCCAGGGAGGAAGTCTGTTGGATTCCTTTATCCATTTATTTGACTTGCATTAATTTGCTTCTACTGTGGGTAGGCCGCGAAACGAGGCTCTAAAGGGCTGACTGGCTGTAAGGATGGTGGGGGCCCTCCCTGGTGGTGCAACAGTGTGAAGCTGTTTGCAGCCACTGCAGCTTGAGTTGGATCCCCAGCCAGGGAGCTGCCCCACATGGCGTGGCAGACCTCTCCTGACCCGCCCGCTGCTCCCTCAGCAGTGTACTTCAGTACATCTGCCTGTTCTGCTCTGCACTCAGTCTCGTGAATTCTCTCACTACCTGCACCTCTGGCCTGCACCCCAGTTCTGTATGCATAAAGAAATAAATCTTTAAAAAAAAAAAAGAATGAGGGGGACAAGCCTCTGAAGACCATCAGTGTCACACTAAGCTTTGCATTAGCAAAGGCCCAGTGTCCTCACAAATGTCTGAGGACAGCTCACTGTGGCCCCTGGTACCCAGCCTCGGCCACACCCAACTGGAGCCCACCCTGGAACCAGAGCCCCCCGCCCCATCCAGACCCTCCCAGGCCCTACCCAGGTTGCACTTACGCACAGGCTCCCGGTAACTTTTTTCTCCGAGGAGTCCATCTAGAGGGTTGAGGGAGAGACACGGGCTCAGAATTAGGTGGGCCCCTTGCTAAAGCCCCCTCAGCTGGCGGTGCCCAGCTAGACAGATCCCAAAACAGCCCCAACCATCCTACCTATTCAGTGCTGTAACCCCCACCTCCAACCTGGATGTGTGGGCACTAATGTTATCACCCCACTTTACAAATGGAGAAACCAAGGCTCAGAGAGGTTCATAAATTTGCCAAGGTAACATAGCTGAGTAAGGGTGAAGCCAAGGCTGAGGTCAGTGGCTCGGTCATTCTGCCCTTTCTGTAGCTGCCCAGCTGTCCTCAGTATAGCTCTGCTTGCCCACAGCCTCCTCCAGCACCCCTGCCCAAAGCTCACCCATCCAACTGCCCAGGATTGTGGAGAAAATGCGTTTCTTGCTCATCTCATCCAGTTCAGCAAAGGACAGGTAGTTGAAGTGGCGTGTCAATCTTGGGGTGATGGGATTCCTGCCTCCCCCCGGGGGGCCCAGGGCACAGATAAAGTTGATGTCCACCACGTTCTTGAAAGCTCCTGGAGCGGGGTCAGGAAATCAGGAAGGGGCCCTGCCCTGCCCTGCTTTATCATCTAGCAGGCCCTAGGGACTTCTGACTTCATAGCCGCCTCCTCCATTACAAAATAATGATAATAATAATAATAGTAATAATAATAGTAATAGTAATAGTAATAATTCATAACTATTGGTATGAAGAAAAAGAAATTATTTGATTTTAAAAGAAAATATCCCATGGCTCCTGGGCCCACTGAGCGCCCTGCCCAGCCCGCCCCACCCCCACGCCCACTGGCCCGGCTGCCCGGCACGCACCGATGGTCTTGCGGTCGTACCAGCCTTGGTGGTCCATCCACTGGCGCAGCAGCTCGATGGGCGGCTGGGCGCCATACGTCTCCAGGGCCGGCATGTTCAGGTCATCGATGAAGAAGATGAAGTTACGCCCCAGGGGTGGCCCGAACACACCCTTCCGCCTATTGGGGGGGGAAGGGTTGTGAGCACCCACGGGCACAGGGTCCTCTGGGAATTCAGGGGATGCTACCTCTGCCTTTGGGAAGTGCTCCCTAACTTCAGCTGTTTCTGAATCGCTGAACACCTTGAAAAATCCTGAGGCTTCACACCTGGCTGTCTCAAGTTTAGCATCTCTCAAAGTGAGTCTTACTCTCCCAGGTAGACAGGTAACAGGTCCTGCCCAAGAGTCCAGCCCAGGATGAGCTGGGGAAGCACTCTCCCACGCCCTTCCCCTCCTCAGCGCTCCCACCAACACACACACTAGAGGTGTCTGGCAAACCCAGGAGCCTAATTTGGTGGGGAGATGAATAGCAGCTGGTTCATCCAGTCTGGAAGGACATCAGGGTCGAGGAAGGAAGAAGGGGTGCCCTGCCTCTTGTCCAGCTTGCTGTCGATGAGATCCTGGGTTTGGTTGGCGGAGGTACAGGCTGAGAAGGTGAGGAAGTGGCTGATGTATTTCAATGGTAAGTTCTTAAGGAGCATGTCAGAGATGGTAAGGGTCTTCCCCGTGCCTGTCGGCCCGATGCACAGCACCTGGAAGAGTGGGCGCCACCCAAAGACAGTGCTGGCACAGAGCCTGACATATAGGGAGCTGCCACCCTGTCAGTGTAGGAGGTCAGCCACGCCAGACCATGGCTCTGCTGTGGGGTGAGGCAGTGTGTGGTGGGGCACTCACAGGCTTGTTGTTGGTGAGCAGCAGGCCCAGCAGGTAGGACATCCGCACAGTGTCCATGGTGGGCACAATGATGTTGCAGTAGTTGGTATCTGGTATCATGGTGAAAGGAGTCGAGGAGTCCATCCACTTCACCCAGGCAACCTGGAACCACAGGCGGCTTGGGATGGGCCCGGAACCCCTCCCAGGGCCCAGGAACTAGACAGAAACAGGAATCTCCCTCCCCACTCTGCATAGGTGGGGACTCCCCAGGTACTGCCAATCTCAGGTCTGAAGCAAAAGGAGGTACTTTGGAATTAGCATTTGCTGGTTAGTATCAGGCTACTCAGTGCAGCGGTAGGGTCAGACTCATGGGTGCTGTGATCATCTAGCACTGACGGGCTGGTCTTCCCTGCTGTCCCTACCTGTGCCGTGAATCCGTTCACTGCAGCCCTGACCCAGCCTGCAGACCCTCTTGATGGGGCTGGGGTGACTCATAATAATAAACCAGCACAGCTCATGAGACAACTCTGGCTATGTGTCCTGGGAATCCCCCAGCAGGACCCTGCACAGAGACTGTCTCTGTAGATACTTCTCTGGCCTAATTCTGGAATGAGAAGAGCCTTATAGAGCCCTTGCTGGATGATAGGAGGAATGGAGATGATGCGGCAGAATACAAGGTCTGCTCCTCCATGTTTAGGGAGCATAGCCCCGGGAGAGAAGGTTTTTAGATGGAAAAAAGAGGGTTCCCCCAGAGCTCAACATCAACATGGAGGAGGGGGGGTGTGTGGTGGGATGTCTGACATCTCCCAATCCCAGATCGAGTCCAGCTCCGCCACTCACTAGCCAGGTGTGACTGTTCCGAGCCTCCATCCCCTTGTCTGGAAACAGGCACAATAACAACCACCCCATGGGTCTATGAGGATTTGTGGGATGGCATAAGTAACCCCAGCCTTCAATGTGGCCTCCACTCTGTAGTTTTTCGTCACCACCCAGTAGGACGCTCCCTGCCCCACCCCCTCTAGGCAGGTCCACAGTCACCTTCTTGTTCTCCTCATCTTCATCCTCGTCATTGCTGGTGTTGCTGATGCCCGCATCGTCCAGCCTATAATCAAACACCAGCCCCTCCTCTGGGAAGCACAGTGTCAGCTGAGGGGACCCGGAGAAAATCAGGCAGTGAGGCCCAGTAGCTTTCAAGGTTACATTTCCCTTGGCCTCGGGCCCCCGGGGGCCATCCCGGAATATGGTTGGGCACACCCATTCTAGGCCTAAGAGCCCAGCCTGGACAGGAGTTGGGGTGGGGGTGGGGGTCTCTCACATTCTCCATCAGCATCTTGAGCCTGAGCCAGTTGTTGAAGCTGGAGCGACTGTTACTGTCCCCTGTGGCACCCACACTCCAGATCAGGGAGAAGATGAACCAGGGTTCGATCAGCTCTGGGATGCGACTGAGCTTTTCAGGGGATACTTTCTTGAGGCCCTGAGGACAGAGGAGCAGCATCGGGCTAAGGCAGGAGCAGTGCGGAGGGGCCTGCGGAAGGGGGACGGAGGGCAAAGGCATCTCTGGCCTCGTCAGTCTGTTCCTGCGGCAAACTGGGTGGCCGCCCCACGACTCAAGGATTCAGGGCCCTCAATGGTCCAGGCAAGGAGGGCAGGGGGCCAGAGGAGTTGCCCCTCCTCGCCCTCCCTGCCCCCCTTCCTGCTCAGAACTGTACCTCTTTAGGCAGAAAGGGGGTGAAGAAGCAGTCCAGCAGCTTCAGGAGGCTCATGGTCAGGTTGCTGTTGGTTGATGCGATTACCTCCTTCACCGAGGACCGAACGAACATGATGGAGGCCTGCGGGAGTGAGTGCCTGGCTGTCGTGACTGATTACAATGCCCCGTTGCCCCACCTGAGCCAGGCACACTGTGGCCTTGCTTACCTCCAGGAAGGTAACAAAGAGGCCCATGAACATTTCCTCGTAGGGTTTGAGAAAGGCGGGGAGCCTCTTCAGCCAGCACTCCACAAAGGGCATGAGCCCCAGGATGCTGGGCTCCAGATACACCATGCCACAGCGGGACACTGTGGCGGGTGAAGCGACTGCCAAGTCCTGTACCTCGAACATCATGGTCATTGCCTGGCAGGTGCCAAGACAAATTGAGTGAGGGGGCCAGGCAGCCAGCTCTAAGGCCAGGAAGAGGGCTGCAGGGCCCCAGAAAGGAGTGGCCTATCCTGCAGCTGTGGTGGGCCAGGGCAGGTGGGGGGCCGGGGCAGTACTGGGATGGGATGCAGGGATCCCTTGGCCTCCACTGGTAACAGCCCTCCCTGGGTCCCTGAGCAAGAGTCAAAGCCAGGAGATTCCTGGGAGCCCTGTTGCCAGCTGGGGACTGAGCATGTCGGTGCCCCGGAGCCCTGGGAAAATCTGATGGGAGCTGTGTGCTCTGCTCTGCTCCCTGTACCTGCACCCAAGCCCAGTTCACAGTGACCTCCAGGTCCTCGTAAGATGCAAGCAATAGGGTCAGTACTGACACTGCGAACTGCTCTTACTCCCGTACCCCTCCTTCTATGAGAACTGTTCCTTACATACCAGGCACGTGCCAGGGACACCCCTCCCAGATGTGGGAGCCTAGCCCAGCACACAATGGATCTGAACTACCCATCCCCCGGGCTCAGGGCACGGGATACCCGCCCAGACTGAAAGTGCACCACAAGGCAGCATCTGCCCTGGGACCTTGGAGGGTGGCTGTCCTGGCCCCAGTGGGCGGCTGCACCTCTGTGAGCTTGATGATCTCCCCAGAGCTGAGGCACAGCTTCTTGTTGTCATCCAGCACCGTGTTCATGTTCTCAATCCAGATGGCATCCACTGGCCCATCAAACATGTACCACTTCTTGCTGGTGTCTGAGGCTATGGCCCCCGCCCGGATAAGGGAGGAGAAAATCCCATCTGTCCTGAAATCACCAGGGAGGAGAGGTTAGTAGATGAAGGCAGGACAGACAGCTCCCAGGGAAACCTGGCCACAGGCTGGCCCTGCTCTGCTTACTTCTTCGTCAGTATCTTCATTCATTTGAAAATCATAATGGAGAAATGGGACTCCCTGGTATAACATGGTGTAATAATAAGAGGTTCTTACATTCTCTCCCTGTCGATTCCCCGCTCAAGTTACATTAAAGGAAGGTAAAAGGTGATCCCTGAAATGAGGAAGTGGGAACTGCAGGCATGGAGGTCCATACAGTGCTGGAAGGCAGAAGGAGGTGGAGAAAAGGGGCACACGATTTATCAGAGAAAGTGGGGGTTTAAGATGTGTCTCCTTCCAATTCCGATCCAGGAAGGCTCAGACTTCAGAGGCACCAAATGCCAGGAAAGAGGGTGACTAGGGGAACATCTCATCTCTAGCTTCCCTGCCTCCCCTTATAGGAGCTGAGAGTGGGCGTGGGTGAGGTCTTTCCAGAAATGGGGGAAGCAGTACACGTCCACATTCAGAAAGATGGGTGACTCTTGCCCCCACCAGTTAGCATCCCTACTGGAGGAGACCAGAGGCTTCTTTGGAAACACAAAAGCGCCCCAGAGAAAAGACCCTGGGGAGCGGCCCTATGGAGGGAATCCACCCAGTGGCCCCTCTCTCAACTCAATGCTCTTCCCCTAAAATGCACATCTCAGCCTGGGAGTAGAGGCCACTGGGAGGAGTTTCCAGGCTCTCCTGGGGTAAGGGCAGCAGTCAACCTTTACTGGACCCTTGGCATGTGCAACTCTTAAGAATGGTGCAACTGGTTTTTCCAATACTTGTCCAAATTGAAATTAAAACGTTTAGCTAAAAAAAAATTATATATATA